ATAAGCCTGATGGGCATCTTAGGCTTCATTTCAGTCTACTACTTAAGGAAGTGGGGCATATCTCTGACAAACACTATCCTGACTGCTTTTTGATCAGTTGTGCCTGAATGTACTTCCCTCCCAGGCCACGCGGGGTGGGGGGAGTAGGACTCTGTCCTCAAGTGGATAGATGACCTAGGATATTCTGAGGAATAGGGAGGAGGGATGCAAGAGAGAGGATGGGACTGAGAGGAGAAGAGGGAGGGGCCTATGCCTGAGATGTAAATTGAATAAATTAATTAAAAAACTAAACATGAAGAAAACAGCATAATTAAAATTTGGTAAAAAGGTGAACAGACTATTTCAAAAGAGATAACCCAAATCATGAAGAAGCTCCAAAAGGAATATTTAACATTACTAGTCATCAAGGAAATACAAATCAAAACCAGTTTGATATTTCATCTTACAGTCAGAATGGTCAAAATCAATAAAGCAAATGACTGTTGTTCATCTATTTCTGGTGTGCATGCAAACTTGTACTACTATTGAAATCAGTGTAGTAGTTCCTCAGGAATATATCTATCCTTATACACCTATACAGCTTTTGAGCATATACAATAAGTGTGCTTCATCCTATTACAAACACAGTTGTTCAACCATGTTGTACACAATGTATTCATAATAGCTAGCTACTGGAAACAAACGAGATGTCTGTAAATGGATGAGCTGGTGAATCAACTACAGTATATTTATGCACTAGAGTATTGCTCAGCCATTACAAACACAATCATTAAATTCATAGGAAAATGGATGAAACTAGAAAAATAAATCTTGAGTGAGATACCCAGATCAGGAAAGACAAATATTGTTTTATTCTACCTGTTCAGTATGTTATAAGCAAGCTATAAAGTATATAACCGCTGAGATTAGGTATGGATTAAGACATTTGTGGTGGTGGTGGTAGGAAATAGAATAGATAGTAATCAGTGGAGTGTGGGAAGGGACTGGGATTTGAGGAGCAAATGGGAAGGATGAAGAAAGAGGAAAGCACAGCAAAGAGTATGAGAGGAACAGCTAAAACCAAAAGGCCACTTGTCAGGCTGTATGGAAACATAATACAGTAGAAGCTTTCTAAAAATATACATATATAAAGGTGAATCTGAAAGAAATTACCAAATAACAGGGTTGAGTGGACCCCTCCTGGATACCTTATGCTACAACTTCTGGTACTGGGGATGTTTTACCTATAATAAAATTGTAGGCTAAATTTGTCCCATAGCAATACCCAAACAACCCAGGCTATTGCCAAAGCTGTTGTGTGGAATATACCTATACTGACACCAAAGCCCTGTTGCTGAAGACAACACCTACACAGCCCATCAAAACAAAGAAATTGAGCTGGTTCCTGCCTCGTACCTTTACCCTTATGGACTAGTGTTCATCGTACTTATAGGGATTCTGAATGTTACCAAAAGAGAAAGATAAACTCTAACCCACCTGTAATCTACAACAATGAGCTGTCTGCAAGCAAGCCAGTGCAATAGTGACACAAAGCTTGGTTACCCCAATAAGCTTTGTGAAAGCTTGAGATAGGGGCCAGCTCAATTTCTTGGATTTAAGGACCACTTTACTAACTGGAACATGCCTGAGGCTGTTTAGTTAGTCAAGAACCTGAGACTAAATAGACCAAAGACCTCTACTGTTCTGCTTAAAGTGCTTAGTGAAATAACTCCTCACAACATTCTGATCTTAAATGGGGTGTCTCACAAATTCTTCCCAAGCTCAGCAAATGTTGTGGATGATGAGGTGGAAAGAGTAAGCATGATGGGGGACACCAAAGGAAACAAGGCTTCCTAAACACAAAAGGACCAATGCACATACGAACCCAAAGAGAATATGAAAGCCTTCATGGGACCTGTATGGATCTAAAGCTGATGAGGTTCCAGCATTGAAAAAACGAGGACACAAGCCCACATCAGTAACCCAGGATCTATCTCCAGCTGATGAATGCTCACAAATAAAAAAATCTGTTTTCCTTCAGAAAGTCTCACTAGGTATACATACCCAGGTCCTATCCCAGTAGTAGATGGCCAACACAGACCAAACTCAATGGCACCTTGGGCTATTCTTTGTCCAGTAATGTCTAGTCATGCACTTATCTATCTATTTATTTTTAATTTTTGTTTTTATTTTATTGCTTTTTTGTTTTTTCTTTCTTACAGATCCTTTACATATTTATTATGGCTTCCGGCTTATTTACTTATGAGATTTCTGTGTTTGTGAATGTGTGTGTCTCTGCATCTACATCTTGTGCTTTTTATCTGCCTTTTTCTTGTTTGTTTTGCACCATTCTGATTTGTTTCTGGTTTAATTTATTTTATTTTACTTTATCATATGTTTATTAATATTCTTTAGATGGATGTTTTTTCTGAGAAGAAGCAGAAAGGAAGTAGATTTGGATGGGAGGAAAGATGGGGAGAATCGCATTGGCAATGAAAATTGAAACCATAATCAAAATACATTATATGAAAAAAATTATTTTTTTAATTTTAATTTTATTTTTAGTAATTACAGTTTATTCACTTTGTATCCCAGCTGTAGTCTCCTTCTCCACACCCTCCCAATCCTACCCTCCATCCTCTTCTTCTCCCATGCCCCTCCCCCAGCCCAATGATAGCCTATCATGTCTCATCAGGACTGGCTGCACTTTTTCCTCTGTGGACTGGTAAGGCTTCTTCCCCTCAGGTGGAGGTGATCAAAGAAAACCTTTTAAATTATCAATACATTGACAACAACAACAAAATCACCCTTTTGTGTCTAAATCATAATTGTCATAAATCCTAGAAATTTCAGAGGAGTTTATTAAAAACATTATAAGAGTTGAATTAATTCTCTTCTCAAACATAGATAGATAAAAGTAAAACTATAAGCCAAAGAAGACAAAGCACATATCATATATTGATAATCATTTTCAAAATTAATAGCTCATTTACTTATTTATATTAGAGTGAATTAGTAAATAATAGTGCATTTTACACAATGGATCAATATACAGAAATGAACAGGAGTAAAACCACACATATGTAATTAGAGGAATTAATCTCACAGTATCATCAAGATTCTGCTTCTTCATAGCAATGTGTAGTGCCTGAATTTAATTATTTAATCAGGTAATCTACAATCAGGACAGTGGATATTTTTAATAGATATTGTTCCAAAAGGCCATAACAGAATCTAATGTTTTAAAAGTCATTAAACTTCTTTTTGATGGAATATTGTTCATGGCATCCCTGTAAGTCTTTATGGAATTATATACTGATATAACTCTGTGTCTCTGTGTTACAAGTCAATCTTACAAATAAAGTGAGAAAGACACAGAGAATCTCTCTCTCCCTCTCTTTCTCTCTCTGTTTATCTGTCCCTCATATACATGCATATATACATTCAAAAACATATATACATGTATATATATGTGTGTATCCAAACAGAAAATATGCAAAAACAACAAAAGCAACAAATATATTATATGAAGACAGTGTTCTATTTTGTGGCAAGCCATGAATAAGTTTGGTATCTTTGAATTCTAGAGTACTCCAGGAAAAGGATGATGAGAGATTGCACTTATTGGCTGTAATTTAGAAATGGAAGAAAATGTATCTAGGAACTGAATTGGGAAACTTTGAGATTTAGTACTTTGGATAATGTAAATGACAGTCAATAGAAACAGTTTGCTTTTGACTGCACTGATAAACTATGCCAATCTGTAACCAATTAAAAATTATTTTTGTACTCAGTGTACTGGGATAATATGCAAAAATAAACAGTGACATTTCTGTAAGGTTTTTATTTCATCAACCACATTTTAATTTTCTTGTCATCTTTCCACAATGTACATCATTCATGTGTTTTGATGCCTTCATATTCTACATAAAGATGTAATGCTGTGCTTCATATCATCCACATTGAAAAGTCAGGGTTATTTAAAGTATGATTGTTACTTTTGACAGGCCAGAATTTTAGGAAAGAAATCGTCTGACTTTAAATAACTAATTAAATTAGCATTTGCATCATCCAACATACATTTTAAGAATATGTCTATCAGCAGGTCTATTTCCTCTGCATTGGTCCAAATTATTATACTTGCTAGTGTAATGTAAATTATGGTTTGGAATTGATTGACAACTCAATCCTGTTTCTAAGGGTTCTTTTTCAAAATGCTTGACTGTGAAGTTTTAATAATCTGTGTCTTTTCTCTGTCTATACATATAGAATATGGTTCTTGATTATTTTGTTAACACATTTATATGAAAAAGGAAGCTTTGAGTCATTTCAGCTTCAGTATGTCTTACTATTGAGCATATCTAGACATCAATTGTTTTAACTAACTTCTCAAAAATAGTTGACTGCATTTTCAATAGGTTGTTATTTAAAACATACTTACATTAGTAACAATTACATCAGATTATATAAGCATATACTTTTTCACCTATCAATGCCACCATTACAAAGCCACACACATCAGTGTAACATCAGTGTAAATCTGCTGAGATATCCTTACATAATCCTCACCAGCAGAAAACATTCCTTTATGTTATTTAATGAGGTGTTTGGCAGAGAGTATAATTAATGTCCTCACTTTCTTTTAATAACACTTTCCTGAAATTCCAATTGCCTAAAGTAATAGTTTGTTATGTAATACAAAATTAATACACGCAAGAAATTGAATTTTTACAGAGAATTTGTGATCAGCTGTAGTAAGGCACTATGTGTTACACTATAAGCTAGAATGGTGCTTTGGAGAATTGGGTACTGGGATCCACACTTTAGAGAGCTGTGACGAGGGCACTACTCTTTAGGATTAATATCTTCATATCAAGGGCACATTTTGATCAGTTACAATTCTTTCCGTTGGGGGGAAAGCAATTTCTACAGAGATAATCATTTTCTGAGAAGCTGAATTCTCACTGTTTTTCTACAAAAAAGTTATGCTAGTAGATATATGCATAGTAATTTTCACCCACCTTGTGTGCTTTTTCTCTTCCTTGTAGGCTGAGAATAATTGAAGCATATTCAGTGATACCTTCAGATGATCTCCATAAAATAAAATAGGTGTTCCCTTTGGACATTTGAATTGTGTTTGCCTGCTTTTTCATTTTCTGTGAATGGATCAAAGTCCTTACTGTGGCACCGTCCCAAAGTCACAAATGTAGCACAGAGAGATCTTTTTGCAATGGATTAAGTAAGGACGAACTTCAAACCTAGTACATAAGGTCATTGTAAATATCCTCTATATCAAAATATTATATTTGAGGGAAACTGGCAGGGTGTTATTAATTAGTAAAACATCTGATTTGTAAAGGATCTTGGTAAAATTTTAATCTTCCAGGTTCAAATCAGAGGGCAGTTTGGAGAGAATCTTTCTCTTTTTTCCCAGAGGCTCCTCAGACTACCTCTCAGAATCATTAGTTCAATACACTAAAAGACAACATTCAAGTCAGTGAGTCATGTGTTTTCATAGTATTAGAAGCAGAGTAAAATGCAGAAAAAAATTACAGTGACAGACTCAAGAGGCATATTTGCAGGTTGTATGTGTGGAGGAGGTGCTAACCTAAGAAGCACATTTCTGAGTTCATTCTTTTCTTTAAAGTTTTCACCGCTTCTAGAGTAGATTATGCAGATAAGGAACAAGAACATCATGAGGCAGGTGGGCCAAAAGCTAAGTGTTCACATCTTAGTCATCAAAGCAGCGTGTGCCATTGGCGAACTCTCCTAGTGTGGACCGCAAGTTAATCCAGACGTTTGTTGGCAGCGCCATAGATCTGTGCCCACATTGCCCAAGCACATGCTGCAGAGATTTTTGGTTGTGCATTTTTGTGGTTGGGGCTGAGTGGCTCTGCATCAGATTCTTTGTGTTTATGTTATTGCTGTTAGCTTGGTGGGTCTGTTGACCTTCTAGCTGTAGGAACAGGTGTATGTCTGACTCTTGCCTGCTGTTTCTCTATTGGATTTAATATAAGGGCCTACGCCTTGACTTATTGAATCTTGTGTCCTGTTTGGCTGTTGTTTCTTGGAGACCTGCTCCAAGATGAAATGAAGATAGAGTGAACCTGAGCAAAGGTGAGGTGGGAGGAATGGATGAAGGTGAAACTGTGGTTGAGATATACTGCATTAGAGTAGAATCTATTCTCAATTCAAAAGATGAAGAATATTAAAAATATGAAGAACAAGGACCTGAACAAGAAGAAAGGTCTTATTTTATGAAATAAAAACTAAACAACAACAACAAAAACCAACCATCCAAACAAAAACCAAAAAATTAACATCTTGAAAGGGAAATGTATTTTCTGTTGCTTCAACACACCAAATAGTCTCTCAGTAAGCTAATACTTCCATGATAAAAGTTCACTTTCCATACTTGTTTGGTGTACTTTTAAGTGACTGTTTTAAACAACTGCTTTTGTGTGGAAGAATTTTCTGGGGAATCTTCTTTCTGAAGAATTTTTTAAAATAATACCTTCTAAGATGGACTGAATGGGGGGGACAAAGAGGAGATGAGGGAGGGAGGGTGGGACTGGAAAGGAATGAGGGAGGGGGCTCCAGTGGGTTACAAAGTGAAAAAAAAAAACTGTAAAAATAAAAATTTTAATTAAAAAAAGAAAATAAGAACAGTTGAAACTTCACCCAAATATTTCTAAGTGAGAATTTACACCCCTGAGTCCAGTTTACTTCCAAGAATTTGTAGACAATGTATTTCTTCAAATCTTCCAGTTATAAACTCTCTAACATCTAGTCCATTTATAAATAGAGGTAACAATTTACTGTATCTTAATGAAATTAAAGGTTTAAAGTTAATATTAGTGAAGCACTAAGATTTATTAAGCACCTTATAAAGTGAGTTTTATATAAAATAAATAAAACTTAATTTTTTGATTAAGGTATAAAGGAAACTCAGTCTCTGCTTAGTTATATTGCTAATATCTTAGTTAGGGCTTCTATTACTGAGCCAAAAACATCATGACAAAAAACAAGTTGGGGAGGAAAGGGTTTATTTAGCTTACAGTTCCATATTGTTGTTCATCATCAAAGGAAGTCAGGACAGGAACTCATGCAGGGCAGGAACCTGGAGGCAAAGAGTGATGAAGAGTCCCTAAAGTGGGGTTACTCACTAAATTATTTCTCATGGCTTCCTCAGCTTGGTTTCTTATAGAACCCAGGATCATCAGCCCAGGGATGGCAGCACCCATAATGGCCTGGACCCTCCCCCATCAATCACTAATTAATAAAATGTCTTACAACTGAATCTTTTAAATTTTTTATTAATTTTTATATTAATCACAGATTATTTACTTTGTATCCAACCGTAGCCCCCTCTCTCATTCCCTCCCAATCCCACCCTTCTTCCCTTCCTCATCTCCTCCCTGCCCCTTTCAGGAACTATTTCTGACTTGAACTCAATGACTGGCTCCTTTACTCCCCTCCCCGAGGGAGGAACAGTCTTTCTAGGCCACAGAGGAGGACATGGCAGCCAGTCCTGAAGATAAGCTGGGGTCAGATGGAAGGGGAGGAGGACCTCCCTAGCAGTGGACAACTGGATCTTATGGAGGCATTTTTCTCAATTACATTTCCCTCTTTTCAGATAACTCTAGTTTGTGTTTCAGGTTGACATAAAACTAACCAGAACAACTAAAAATCAACAGGGAGAATTACAGGGGTAGAGTAATAAGGACACCTCTTAGACAAATAATACATCATTCTCAGACATGAATAACCTAAAACGCTAAAGTCTCCTAATGAAAATGCATGCAAACTTTAAATTATGGTAGTCGGTATACTTGTATTTCTCCTTTGTGGAACAAAGACCACCGCCCTTGTTCTCAGATAACTGTACACTCACGGCAGTCACAAAGCCTGTTACAGCATCAATATTCAGACTAATAAACGTAAGAAACATAAATTATCATTGGGAAAAATAAAAGGAAGCCTAAATATTTGTTATCAATTAAGGGTTTATTGCTTCATTGATTAAATATAAAATGCGGTAGATTGATTTTTCAGCGTTATAAGAATATCTGTTTATAGAATCTCTTTGTTCTTTTACTAAGTGAAAAATTTCAGTGGCAGAATACTTTCCTGGATTCTGGTTTTTACACTTAAAAACGCTGTCCCATGGTGATCACTTCATTCTTCATAGACTCACATATATGCATATCTACATCATAAAAAGTCTTTTAAGCTTTTGGTCAGTTACCTATTCAGTACTTTAGATTTCAAAACTTTTATTCTTCATAGAGTTATTCAGTTTGGAATAAGTTTCACTTGTGTATTACCAGATTTTGTGATCCCCGTTATTAACTATTATACCAATAACATATAGATTAGTGATGAACATCAAATTATATATAAATCTACACATAGAACTAAAGTGAGATAGCAATTTTGAAGTAAAAAGTCCAGGACATACCCCATTATGTTCATTCAGCTGTCTCAAGTATGTGAACGATCATGAGCTTAAGGTGGAGGCAAATTATACACTACAGAAAGTCAATAAAGTCAGAGGTGACGCAGAAAACATAATAATTTTGCTCAAGATCCTATATGCATTATTTAGAAAAAAATGACTCAAATTAGAGATAAATGTTAGTACATACTATGAAATAAATCTAAATCTTGAGTAGAGAAAGAAAATGAATAGATGTGATAGCATAAATGGGGAATTAGAATAAAAGCAAGAAGCCTTATAAGCAGAAATGTTAGGACTCCCAAGAGAGTGCATGCCTTTTGATATGTGGTAAGACCCACACATATATGTATGTATCTGCATATATTTTGAAATATAAAGAATGCTCTAGAGATGTCACCGAGTTTGTAGAGTGTTTGGTTGCATGGATAAAAGTTGTGGGTTCATTCTGTAGCATTGCATAAATCTAGTGTTATGGAAAATGCCTATAATCCCATCATGGAGAGGGTAGAGGCATGAAGACAAGAGATTCAAAGTCATGCTACTGCTATGTATTGAATATGAGGTCAGCCTAGAGTAAATAAGGTGTAAGCTAATTTAAAAATAAAAATAAAGAAAACAGCTATTAAATTTGTTACCTACCATATAATAAAAGTAGATCAGAAATAGACTTTAGATTTAATATCCAAATTATATTATATTATAATGTGGATATTTAATATCCAAATTATCATGAAAAAATATTAAATTACTAATAACATGCAAGACAAGTTAAGCAAAAAATGATTTAATTTATACCACTGGTATCATTACCTTTCTTTGATTATGCCATTAAGTGTCTTAAAACCTTCAATTTTGCTTTGTTTTAAAAGCTCAAAATCAAAGTGAATCATCAACAATGATGTAAATTTTCAGTCATTTTCAATGATTTTAAATCATTGTCATAATTTAAGATGTCGAGCAGATTTTATAATTATTTGGAATAAATTTATGTAAGCATCACTGAAACAGTTGAAAAAGACAATGGCTTCACTTGTCTAATTTAAAAGAAATTATTCCTCTCACTTCTGCTCATGGGAATGATAGCTGACAGGAAATGTAAGCAGCCTTCATAATCTAACTTGCCTTCTAACAATCTAATCTATCTGTCATATTATGTTTCTTATAAACAATATTTCTTTAAGAAAAGGGTAATTCCAGGGAATAGAAATGAATATTATTCTATAGAAGAGCAAGGAACTAAAAACTACTACTAAGGACATGAGTATTACTAAGAACTTCATTGCATATAATGATGTATTAGATTTTTAAAAAGCAGTTAGTATTTTTAGCTTCCGATTAAAAATAACAGAGGAAAGAAAATTCAGCTCAAACCTATAACAAGCAGAACAAATAAAATATTAACAACAAAAGTAGAGGTAAATATCAATAACAAAAATTGATGAATAGAATTTTAAACAAAATCTCATATTTAGAAAAAAATGAGTATAGTTGACATGTGTAGTGAGACTGATTAGGAGTATAATAAAACACATCATATCCTTAGTTGACATGAAAGAGGGATTATTAGTGAAGATGAAGTGATAAAAATAAAACTGTGTGGACATATGAGAATAAATCATCAATTCTCAAAACTCAAAAAATAACTGACA